TTTTTTTTTTTTTGAGACAAGGTTTTACTGTGCAGTTCAGAATGACCTTGAACTTACTTTGTAGCCAGGCTGGCCTTGAACTCACAGCTTTCTTGAGTGCTGTCATTTTTGAAAAGATGTCAGATTTGTGGGAATTTAGATATTAGCCATTAGACTGCAAGAAGGTGTGATCTGAGTTTTTAAAGATTTTCCTTTAATTACTTACTTTGGGATCATTCCAGATTTCACAAAGGGGATGTCCTCATCACTGCATCAACTGGAATGATGACGGAAGCTGAAGGAGAGAAGTGGGGCCTGGTTCCTACACATGCTTACGCCGTTTTGGATATTAGAGAGTTTAAGGTTTTGTCTTGTCCTCTTATTTGTTAAGACATCACAAGAATCACAAATGATTATCAGATTTGAATACTGACAAATCAAGGTTTTCCTGTTATATTAAACAGCTTGATCTTTACCATTATAAACTATGAAATTAAAAAATGGGAAACAATGCCAGTGACAGCACAGATATTGATGACAGGACAGAAACCATTAGACCTCTTTCTCTTTTCTATAAAAGCATCATGGATGAGGTAAATACACAGCCCCGGGGTTGACTGCATACTGCTGTTTGGGTCAGTCTTAGTGGTCAGCATTGCAGCAGAGTAGGTGCTGAGTGAGTATTTGTGAAAGGAGAAAGAGCAGGAAGACACCTGTGAGTAAGACACATCCCAGGAGGTGTGTGCGAGCGTGCCTTTCTCTTCCTGAAGGTCTTCACATGCAGTTAGGCCTTCAGACCCTTCCTCAGCCTGTGCTTGGGCTGAGGTATCAGGATGTGTGACTGCATTTGTGTGTGGGTTTAATTATTTTTAAGAAAAAATTGATCAGTTGTATGGATTAGAAAAATACAAGTATTTAGAATCCTTTATAATAGAAGTAGTGGTCAATCCGCAGTAATGGCACCCCTGTATATTAGACTTTTTAAAATGAGGTACATAAAACTAGAGTTATAGCTCATTTAATGCTGATGCAATCTGAGAAACTTGATTTTGTTTTCAAACAGAGTATCTTTATACAAATTAGATGATTCAGCCAGTGGTACACTTTGGCTGTACTGTCCGCATGTGCATGTGTGCGTGCATGTGCGCACGCGTGTGTGCATGCGTGTGTGTGTGTGTCTTAGAACCCATTGCTCCTAGGACATGGTGAACAAAACAACAGGAGAGTAACCCAAAAGAGAAAAGTGATGCTGTCGAGAGATGGAGTTAATGAGATGTGTACACCGCAGGCCTAGCATTGCATACTGTTTTATGATGAACTTTTTTGTAATAGAGTGAGCACACTATAAAATAATAAAATCCAGTAAATGCATAAACCAGGAGCAGTCGTTGCTTGTTGCCAGTATTATGTACTGTGTATAGCTGTAGCTGCCATATTTAATTTAATTTAATTTATTTTTTTGGCAGAACCAGGGATTGAACTCAGGCATTTGCATTTGCTAGGCAAGCACTTATTCTACTGAGCCATCTCTCTGGCTCCTAGCTGCCATATTTTATACAGTTGACAGCACTGTGTGTTTGTTTATAACAGCATCACAAACAAGAAAAAAATCTATAATATTGAACAATACTGGCTGTTAACAATATTGTGGCTGATGTTCATGGAAAATTACAATCCTAAAATAAATAGACCTCTGCTTAGTCACAAACACATGGGTATCACTGTTGACCTTTATGATGGCCATTGGTCACTAGGCAAAAAGGCTGTTTAGCTCCATTTTCGTCTTAAGTGAATGCTGTCATACATGCAGTCTCGCCCTAAGCACTTTCATGTGGCACATGACTGCATATGGATCATGACAGCAGTAGCGACCTTCTCCAACGTTTAAAAATTCAGTCTCAAGATGATTTCTCAGTTAGCTAGTTAGTATTGCAGCTGCAACTATACTGAATAAAATTGTGTTTTCTTTAAAAGTGATATTAAAATTGGGTACTCAAAGCAAAGAATATAAAATTTAATATAAAAGTATATGGGAGAGGGCTGGGGATTTAGCTCAATGGCATAAGCACCTGCCTGGCTCAGTGTAAGGTCCTGAGTTCAATCCCTCGTACCAAAAACAAAACAAAACAAAAAGTATATGGGAGAATAATGTGAGAGATTTATGTTTTAGAATTGGAATTTACCACAAACACCAGTCAGTGGGTAATAAATCAGTTGCTAATGTTCAATACCCTGTACATTTGTTGTTAGCACACCGTGAAGTAGGTATCAGTGAGTGTGACCAGTAGTGCATAACAGCAAGTGATTTAAGGTTAGCTAGTGAAATGTGCAGGAGAAAAGCAAGCTTTTTAATGAAGATTATATCATTTATCTTAAATAAGATTGTTCTGGGGCTGGAGAGATGGCTCAGTGGTCTAAAGCACCTACTT